TTATTCTGGTAGACTGATTCCAAAAGTGGCCCCAAGTCTTCCCCTTCTATCCCTGCCTCTTGTTAGGTGACTTTGCAGCTCCTCCATTGAGGGGAGGGGTCTATTTTCCTACCCCTTGCATCTGGGCTTGGCCTTGTGACTTGCTTTAGCAAAAGTGACATTGAACCTCCGCCAAGGTGAGGCCTCAAGAGACCTTGCTCTCCTAGAACCTTGCCCCTGCCATGGAGAACAAGCCCAGGCCAGCCTGCGGGAAGAGCAGAGACCACATGAAGCAGAGAAGAGTCATCCCAGCTAAGACTGTCCTGGTCCAGGCACTCACAGCTGACCGCCAGCTGAGTGCTGACAAGGCACCAAATCTAGCCTCGTTCAGCTGAGCTGGGCTACCCTCAGCAAAATGTTTTCAGTTGTATACACCTGTGAGGTGTGAGGCTTTACAGTTGTTTGTCATGCAGCATTATCATGGCCACTGATAACCAATACACTTATATCAAAAACACATGGGCCTCGCTAATGCTGCTGGGCCCAGAGCAGCCCCCGCCACAGTCAGTAGAAGAGGAAGAGGCAGACATCTGTCACCTGCCTGCCGCCAACCCAGGTTTTCCAAGCCCACTTCAGCAGACTTCTTCTTTGCCAGCCCCTTGGGCTCCTGGTCCCTTCTGCTCAATTCGCCCTTCTCACTTCCTTTCCCAAAGTTCATAAGTTGCAGATGCAACTAAACACTAACATACATTCCCAATCAGCAGAGCAAACTTCTTCCTTGTGCTAGCTGGCCCTCAGCAAGGGAGGGGAGGTGTGAGGCCAGAATTCACTTCCTAGAGTAACTTGCAAGGTCCAGGGAATTCACTCTCTATACACATCAGCCCCTCTCCTGGCACACGCAGGCCACGGATACCAGGGCCTGGTGAGGCAGAGGAATGGGTATTAGTTCCAATAACTCAATTCTCATTTTAGGGAAAGGTGATTCTAGAGTTTATAAAGCTTTATGTAGCATTCAGAAAACAAAAACAAAAAATTTTTCTCTAGTTTGAGATAAAGTCCTAATCACAGCTATCAATACATCCGTAAAATTTAAATGTAAGCACTTCAAGAACGAAGGGAGACACCCCACACTGGGTGTGGTGTGGGCTTTGCTGAACCAGCAAAACAAATGGGTGGAGAGGCCTTTAGAAAATTTCACCAAGAGGCCAGGAATTTAAATATGCAGGAATAGAATTCCATCATGAAAGCAGTGCAATTTTTTAAAATTTAGTATATTTGGGCCTAATTCTGTTCTGACATTCAACCCGCCCTTCCTCAACAATTAAAACAGCACAAACACTTCCTTTGTTTTCACGGCTGTCTCAAGAGCCGCCAGGGCTGTAAAGGTGAACCTCAGGTGATAAGTGAAAGAGAAGAATTAGGAAAAAGAATTACGGCAGCCTTCACTGTCCCAGAGTCAGAGGGAACAAAACTACCATAAATCCAAAAGACGTAGGGAACACACTTTGAATGTTATTGGAGAATTATTTGACAAATATTTTTACATGTTGCACATTAAATCATGAGGTTCTTTTAGAGCAATAAATATTTGAGAAGGAAAATGGTGTGCTGAGCCACATCAATATTCTACCAATCTCAGGTGGCAGGAAAAAACACATTTCCTTAAACAAAACACATCTGATCCTGAGTTACCCAAAGCAAATGGAACGCCTGCCAGCTCCGGGGGAGCACCCTTCTCAACCAACCAGAGAGGAGCAGCTCCACAAACACACCCCAGAAAAGTTGGAAGGCCTTTAGAGACGTTTTCCTCTTAGAATGCTGGCTGTGGGTGGCACCTGCGAGCTGTCATTCTGTCATTAATTACCCCTGACTTCACCAAAGCTCTTGAGCCTTCTTCACGTTTTTTCACTGTCACTAATCATGATAAGCTTGTAGACCAGGCTCCAGCAAGGTTCCTGCCCCAGGGCCTTTGCACTTGCTGTTCCCTCTACCTAAATGCTCTTTCCCCCAGATACCTTTTCTACCACACTGCTCAAGCTGCTCTCTCAAATGCCCATCCTACTTACAGTTTCAGCCCTCAGTGCCTGAACAGCTGCACGCCCCTTGCTCAGCTCCCAGTGCTGCTGGCTGAGACAGGGGCAGGCAGAAAGGCCTTCCAGAGAAGGTGCCCTTAAAACAGGCACCTGCATGCAGTGAGGGAGCCAGCCATGTTACCACCTAGGCAGCACACATTGGACACTAGCATGCTCACAACTCCAGTTTGTCCCCCAATTTCCTATTCTTAGCCAGCTACTTTTCCTAAGTTCTTCTCTTCACTAAAAGGCTAAGACTCTCAAAGGCAGGGGCTGCTGGATTCATCTTCGAGTCTCCTAAAGTACCTCGCCAGAGCACGGGAGGCCTGCAACAAACACGCAACAACTCACACTCTCTTTGCCACGGAGCGGCGCATTTGGGCTTCGCCACACTTTATTCTTTCAGCCATTTTCCAGGAATACGGAGCTGTTTGATCAACAGTATCGAGAACCTGATGGGAAGAATGGAGGCTCCTGCCTCCCCCCACCCACACCCCAAAGCACAGAACACAGGCCCTGCTCCTTCCCATCCGCAGATAGAAGAGCTCAGGGGTCTTGTGGTTTGCAGGCCAGGTGCCAGGCCCCGTCAGTATTTGACTCAAAGCAGAGACACTAAGGACGACGAGTCTCCATCTCTACTGTCAACGGGAAAGAGAAGCAGAGAGAGAAAAAGGCTTGCCTGGCAGAAGAAAACAAAACAAAACTGGAAGGTGCCACAGGACAAGAGGGTAAGCAAGGGTCCTGGGGAGGCCCCTCAGGGTGCTGTGTGCACTGTGGCACTTCACGCTCACAACCCCAGGAGATATGGGCTGTCATTATCCCTATTTTACAGACAAGGAAACTGAGGCAGAGAGATGATGGGAGGCTGGAGCTAGCCTCCCATGCCTCTCCGAGGGAGGGGCTTTCAAGAGTGGCCCGGACACTCAGTCTGTCAGGCTCAAACCCCCTGGGGATGGCTTATCTGTTGCCAGTTTTCTGCAATGCAGCTGTTTTCAAATATATATATTACGGATTGATGGGTTGGTTCAGAGTCTCAATCTGTCACCCGGGCTAGAGTGCAGTAGTGTCATCATAGCTCACTGCAATCTCAAACTCCTGGGCTCAAGCCATCCTCCTGCCTCAGCCTTACGGGTGAACGCCACAACGCTCGGCTTTTTTTTTCTATTTTTTGTAGAGACATGGTCTCACTATATTGCTCAGCCTGGTCTCACAGTCCTGGCCTAAAGCAATCTTCCCGCCTCCACCTCCCAGAGTGCTAGGATTGCAGGTGTGAGCCACTGCAACTGGCCAAATATTTATTTTTTGCCCCTAAAGGAAAAGCTAAGCCCAGTGTCTCACAGTGGGCAGCGAGCGAGCCAGGCCCTGCTCCAGCCCACTGGAGACCCCCAGTTTCCCAGGCCCCAGGGAGAGACCTACCCCACCCGTGCACTTCCAAGCTTTGAGGGGGTTCCTTTAAAGCTGGCCCGATACCTGCTTCAGGAAGGAAAGGTTTCTAGTCCAAACATCTGGGCCTGAAGACTTGCACTTAAACTGAAAGTAGAGCTCCACCGACAGCCCCTTGGACCTCAGGAGGGGCTCCCAGCCCTCCTCACCTGCCAGCTGGAGCACCTGCCACCTGGGCTGGGGACATGGGTACTGCCTTGGGGAGCAGCTACAGGAACTGCGGGGGATCCAGGTCATGCTGTCCACGGAGACCCCACCTTAGTTCTCAACTGCCTGCCACAGTTCAAGCACTCACCCTTCCTCCAAGTTCAAATGCTGTGTCAGGTTACTACAAGCAGAAAGTGACACTTGCCGGCTTCCTAAATGCCTAAGCCCAGCCCAGATCACAGTCAGGGTCAAACCACTTTGCCCTCCACCCCCTAGATAAACCAAGGCCCAGGGTTACCAGGGTCCCCAAGTAAAAACACATATTTTCTGTCATCTGCAGGCTCCCGAGCAAAAAAGCACCTGCGTTCCTGATTTGTGCTGGGACCTTGGGGAATATAAAAATCAGGTAAGAACTCGGCCATTTGTCCACCGAACACAGATTAATGTGGACTTCGCCACCGTGGTCACTCTGCAGTTTTTTCCTCAAAGTGCTCGGTGGACTGTGTTCCACTACCCAATCCTTCTCGAGTCTTCTCAAGCCAACTTTTTCATTCCTTTTCTAAACGTTTCTTGCTTTCTCTGAATCTTGGCATCTCTAAAGGACAGCCAGTGCCGCCTCCCTCCACCGGCCTGCGCCACCGGGTGGTCGCTTGCCGTTCGGCTGCCCTCCCAGGCCCTGCCTCTGGGGGTCCCCCGCCGGCGCTGGCTCGCAGCGGTGACCGTGCAGACTCACCAGTCAGAGATCGTGGGGGCTGGGGTTGCGGGGTGTGGGGACCAAGCAGTTCGGGCTAGAGAGAGAACAGTCGCTTCCAAATACTGGCAGCCTGGAGGAGCCGACTCACGCCCAGGCATATTAGGGCAAGGGAAGCGCGAGGGACCGAAGGGACAAACAGGGCGCTGGACAGGAGGGGTTGTCCCTACAGGACAGAAGGAATGGTCGCCTGCCAGGGACTGGGGAAAGATAATAATGGTCGGGGGTGGGGGCAGGTTGAAGAGACCTTGCAAAAGTCGTCAACGCTGAATTCCAGCACGAGCCCCCGGGGCGAATTCAGAGACAGGAGGACCCCGGGGACAGTAAACTAGAAGGGGATGGGATAGGGACGCGGAACTGTAGGCGTCTCCGGCCCGCGCTGCCACCGCGGGCAGAGCGAACTACGCCCCCACCCCCACCCACGCCCCCAACCTGCGATGGGCGAGCCGCCCAGGGCTCCCCAGGCGCCGCGCTCCCAAACAGCGAGGAAAAGGCCCTCTGGGCGGCAGAGTGACTGAAGGACCGGTCCAGAGCCGGGGTCTGGGTGGCGCGGGGATGGGGATGGGGCGTGCCGAGGGGACCCAAACCCTGCGGGGACTCCTGCTTACCCGGCCGTTGCGGTCGGTCTCCTGCACCTCCTCGACGCGCGGCCCCCGCTGCACCAGCGCCCGCAGCAGCCCCACGTCGTTGGCGCAGGCGGCGCGCAGGAGGGTCGCCGCCTCCGGGACGCCCTCCGGGGCGCTCTCCGCGCTTTGGGCGCCGTACTCCTCCTCGCCTCCGAAAGGGTAGAAAGAGTCGTCCGACGCGATGCTGCGGGTATCTGGCAAACTCGAGAAGTCCTCGTACTCCTCGTACTCACTGGCGTCTTCCTCGACCTGCGCGCCCTGGGGTGGGGACGGCGGCTGCGGGCTCACGCAGCCTGCCCCGCCGCCCTCCGGCCCGGGCCCGGCCAGCAGCACCATGCCGGCGGCCGGGGCGCGGGCCGGGGGCCCGGGCGCGGGCCAGGATACGGGACCCGGGCGCTCACCGAGGTCACCGCTCCTCGCCCCCTACGTCCCCAGAAAAGCAGTGGCACACGCGCCCCAGCCCGGCGGAAAGGAGCGCCAGGCGGCTGCGCTCAATGAGAAAAGTCACTGGAGGCTGGAGCAAAGCCCCTAGGGGGTGGGAGGAGCCGCGGGGGCTTTCCGAGCGCGGCGCGGGCGGGGACGGAGCTCGGCGGGGGGCGGGGCGGCCGCGCCTGGGGACTCGCCCGCCCCCGGGTCCCCCGCTAGACGGCGGGTTCTTGGCTAGAGTTCGGAACGAGGCAGGGGCCTCTCTGGGCCGCGGGGACCGTGCAGCTTGCGGCTTTGCCTCAGAGCTGGGAGAAGCACGCGCCGGAGAACCCAAAGCACTCACTGAAGCCGCCAAAATCCGCGTCGCAGGCGGCCCCGCCCCTCCCTCTCTGGCCCCAGGGGACGGAGGCGGAGGTGGGGTTGGGGGACGCGCGGGCTGAGCCCGCTTCCAGCTTCGGGAGCGTAGAAGCCCGCGAGGCCACCCCAGCGGAGGGCGTCAGGCCCCGGGGCCGGGGAGGGGGCAGTTTTTCCCGCCGCTCTGGAAGCACCGAGCGCATTCTCTCACCCCCCGGGGATCCCGGGCTGCGGGGGCCGACTCCACCCGTCCACCGCCGGTCTGAGACCGAGGAATACCCGGGGCGCAGGGCCGCGGAGACCAGGGCATGCGGCGGAGGAGCCGTCCACCTAAGGGGCCTGGGACCCGGGGAGCGCTGCGGGCCGTGCCCTCTGAACTGGGGACTGCCGTGGGGGAGTCCCAACCCGGAGGGAAAGGGGAACCCTCAGAGTCCCCAGGTCACGCGGACCCCGGGCCAGCTGTGGCTTGCAGGTTGGTCCGACCCTGGGGATGAGTGGAGGTGTTCAAAAACTTGGCTGGGGGGGAACGTCTGGGGGGAGGGGACATCTGGGTGGGAAGGGACACGGGCCGGAGCGGTAAGGAGCTCCCTCCCCCACCCTTAGCCAGTGTCACGTGCTGGGACCTGCAAAGTCGTGGCGGATTGACCTGGGAAGGCCGCGACAGGGCGCTGACCCCGCAGCTGGCTGCCAAAAAGAGAGGAGAGCAGGGCTGCAGGCGACAGCCTTGGCTTCTACCCTTATGTCCGGGCGCGAGGCGGGGTGGGCGGGGAGGTGTGCAAATTTGCCTTGGGGAGCCTCTGATTTCCGGGAGGAGGATGCGTCGTGAACCAAATCCTGGTGGGAAAGACTGCGCGGAGACGCGCCCGAGCCTCTGCTGCGCTGCGTCTTCCACCGGACGCGTCACGCGTCGAAGGATGCGAAGACCACCCCCTCTCTCTGCCCCTCCAGCCGACTTCCCTTCCTTTCTTTCCACCGATCTGGACAGTGTGTCCACCAGGTGCCTGCCGGTGGGAGACCCTCGTGGCCCAAAGGTGAACGAAACTGGATAGATGCAGCCATGGGGAACAAGGCTCGAGGACCTGGGGCGGGGCCTGGCAACCCGAGGGACGCAGTGGGGAACTGAATCAAAAGTACAGTTGTGGGAGTGTGGTGTGGAGCGAGGTTTGAACTTCGAGGCCTCTTGAGCCCCTGAGCCCCTGATGTTACACTTCCCTGGGCCAGACCTGCTGTCGTGGTCGCCTGGTCTTCCAGTGTCGCCAGTAGGAGCCGGAATGGCATTCGCAGGGCCGGGAGCGTGGTGGGCCTGGGAGTTCCGATTTCTGGAGAAGAAGCTTCTGAGCGCGCCCTAAGCTAGCGGTGAGTTTAGGCTCCCTGGCTTCCTTCTGTGCTCAGGTCTTTCTTTCTGAAACCAGAAGGACCCCAGATCATGGTTTACTTTCTACCTTTTTTTGGTAACTGGCCACAGTTGCATAAATTCCCACTTGGAATTTCCCCTTTCAAGGTTGACAGTGGTTTCCAAAAGGCCTGTTAATGAACTCAGGGGATTTACAAGTTCAAGTGCCCCCTGAGTGTGGGTTGGGTTGCTAACCCCACTGTCCAGCCGGCCAGGCAGAACACTGTATCATTTTAAAGTAAGAACTCCAGCGCCACGTGACCAGGTCCCAGGTGGACAGGGCCAGGTCCTCTGGAGGAGGAGAATGCCAACCTTTTTCTGGCATCTTGCAGCCAGTTTGTACTCATCGCCCACATCACTAAGCAAGGGAATTAAGGCCGTATCTCCAGAATTTGCCACTTCCTTCTTTCCTTTCTTAGAAATTTCAGTCCAAATAGTACTTGAATGGTTTTCCCTTTAAAGATAAACTAGAATAAAATAGAGTCTACTCCAAAGAGCTAGCCTTTAGCAGTGGTTAGACCCGGTTGCAAGCTGATCGTTGTTTCGTTTTTGGTTTTTTGTTTTTTGTTTTTTTTAGAGAGACAAGGTCTTTCTCTGTTGCTCAGGCTGGTCTAGAACTCCTGGCCTCAAGTGATCCTCCCACCTCGACCTCCCAAAGTGCTAGGATTACAGGCAGAAGCCACTGAGCCCAGCCCATTTTCCTATTTTTTATTAAAAATATTCCTCTAAGAAGAAAAAAT